TTGATTTTTATAAGATATATTGTTTATTACTTATATACAGTCCGACCCCGGTTATTCGACAACCCTTTATTCGAATACCCGGCATTATCCGAAGTAGATCGGCAGTCCCGTTTTTATCTCTTTATAAATTAATATAAATACGAGCGTATTATTCGAAATGCATTAATCCGAATTACTTCTCTATATACTTATAAGAAATAAAATTTCGGTCGATCTTAACATCTAATGAAAGAATTTGTACATCTTTATTATTGTAAACGATATGCCAGCCTAATAATTAAGTTCAAAAGCCAGCTAATTGAGCACATTACACAGGCGTGAGCTCGCCATGAACACTAGTGTAAAAATAGTCAAGCTAGCTCATGCGTATTTAAGACAATTATTGATAAAACTCTTACAGGTGTAGCTGTTCCATTTAATTAACTTTACAGTAACCAGATAAATATAGACAATGGCATGTGCTCAGATTTTGTTACTGTTATTGCGTGAAGATGACAGCAATAATTTTCATACATACCGTATGTGTAAATTTGTCAAAACATCCAAAACATTTTTTTCATTAATTGAAACGCTACATGAGAGCCTTTATCCTTATCCAAAACACCAAAGTTTAGCTGTAAATACCGTAGTGACAACACGGCCATAATATCAAGGCTTTGCGCGAAACGAAACGATACATAATGTAGAATAAAATGCAAGTATTTATGTCTTCAATGTCAGTAAAATAATTTTTACGCATCTTTTCTTTCATATTTATTTTTCTCAATTGATTACAGGAAGTAAGTGTGTTGTAAAAGGTAGTTTTGCTATGATTGGTCAAAGTGGAGTAGTTAATTCGTCTATCACAATATTCCGATTTCGATTATTCGAACCCATCGATTATTCCCAGTAAACATTCAGTCCCAGGCACTTCGAATAAACAGGGTTGGGCTGTAATATACATTATATTATTTTTATTATAGTTACTTGTATGGTTGAATGTTAAACAATGACTGTTAAAATGTGGGATCATTATAGAGTTGGTGCTGAGTGACAGGCAAGGCTTCTGAATGTTTTCTGCTTAAATTATTTGCTCGGGTAGAGAACTGCAGTTGTAATCGCTCAAAAACTAAATTGGAATTCCTCAAATTCACATTAGTTATCTGTCAAACTCACAATCACATTCCCTCACACTCTTAATTGAAGTCCCTTAAACTCACAATTGAAGGCCCTCAATGTTGAAATTGAAATTCTTAAACTCACAATCCCTCAAACTCACATTTGCAATCACTCAAACTCACATTTGCAATTTCCCTAACTCAAATGTGTACTTCCCCCAACTCACAATAATTGCAATCCCATGGCTCATAATGGCAATTACTGTAACTCACAATTGCAAACTCCCAACTCACAGTAATTGCAATCCCCAAAACACATAATCACAACCCCCTAAACACAAAGTCAATCCCTCAATGTTACATTTGTATCACTTATACTCGTAATGGCAATCCCCAAAACTCACAATTGCATCCTAAACACACAATCTAATCCCCCATCCCCCCAACCCCAAACACACAATCCCCCAAAATCAAAATCACAAATTGAAGTCTCTCATAATTTCAGTATTCCCTATTGTAATTACAGATAATATCATAACAGACTAGTCAATTCTTATGTATTATTTTTGGAATTTGTTTATGTAACCACAGAAGGTATGAAAGTCAATGTGTGTTAAAAAGACAAAGTTATATTGTACAATAATTATGTGGTGCTCTCACCTTTGTAATGTGACTATGTCATAAATTGAGTCTATTTCTGAGAGATTTTACAACATTGGATAAATTTATTTTTCATATTTAAAATATATGAGAATTTTTTTTGTTAGAATTATATTTTTTGTATCTTTCAAAATGAAATATTTTTAACTTTACACCTTGTGACAAACAAGGTTTATACAAATTAAGTCACTCTGTGCATTGAATTTCAATATTTTTGTATTCTTGTAATCACAATAAAGTCAATCTTAGTGCTATCTTAAAGATGGCCACTCTGTGACTGTGACAGAGTGGTAGGTTTTATCATAAATTAACAAAAGATGCAAGATTTGTTCTAAAGAAATATTGTATTCTGACGACAGAATTGCGAAACAGATCGAGCCCTTGCTTCAACCTTTTGCTTAGTGTTGAAGCCATTCTAGGAGGATAAATGGTCACTTTATATTTGTTTGTAAAATATCACAACTAATTATTAAGCATACTCATTCTTCATGTGCTGGTAATAACATAATTTAATCAAACACAGTCTATATTACACTGATTGTATCTGATCTTTGTAAGTAGGTACAGGTCAAATTGTAAATGTGTCAAGGTCATTTGGTCAAAACTGAGAATACACAACATTTATGCTATCTCTGATTTGTTAATTAAGATTTTTGCAAAGAACGCAAGATTTTTACAAAGTCAAATAACTCACTCCATTTCAGTTGTCATGCAAAACCATTGTGTTAAGGTCAAGGTTTTAGCTATATTTGGAAGTCAAAGGTGAAACTCTGATATTGACATATTGCTATTCATTACTAATATCTAGTCCACATTATAATGCTTATTGACTTAAATCTGTTGAATTTTGCCATGTTTGAAAGATTGCCATAATTTTATTCCTTGAAATTTCTGTTGTTGTATATATATTGACAGACTAAATGTTGGTGTTGTAATGTAAAAAATAGATATCAATTAATTTAATTAACACATTTCATAGTTTTGGATGGGAGCTAGATCATATTAGACAGTTATTGTTTGTAGGTCTGATTTATCATTTTAAGTTGCTTGTATCAGTTGAATATATCTAACAAATTGTTTTTCTGTAATGTTTATATAAAAGTTTGTTTATATTATTAATTAAGATTTTTATTGAACTTATATTTATAGTCAGACTACATGAAGTTGTATTAAGTTTGGTCTAGTCAGTGTTTTTGTATCTGGTTTGAATAAAAATGTCGAGAAAAACTTTATCTTTCTTTGTGTTCCAAAGCTTGTTTGACTTGTTCTATTATTGTAGAAAAATCAAATTTAGTTTTATCAGCAGGTCAAGGAAAGATGGGGTGTGGTGGGACTCTTGTATTGCTGTTATTGTATTCAATAGAAATCTACAAATGTGAGAATATTTGTTAGTTAATGACAACAAATCATGCATTATATTTGTAGGCAATTATATACAACAAATTACTCTGTTATTTTGACCTATACGCAATACACACTTCTTATTATAATAGCTCAAAAGTAACAAATATCCAATCTTTAAAGTAGTAAAATATTTAAAAATAATTTTCAACTGTTTGAATACCTAAAAGTATATTTCAACTGTTTGAAAACAAGTGATAATAATGACTATAGTCCATGCTGACAGTATAGAGCAAGACCTGCCTGAACATTTTGTCCATATTATCAGTGACCATATTAAACATTTAACCTGCTGGAACAGCATGTGCTTAGTCTTCGTCACCAGTAGAGCACCAGGCCAATGTATCAGTCAATGTGCACTTACTGAATCGGCAAAGTGAACCAAGATGTTAGAGCTGGGTTGTAAAGATTTCCTGAAAAGTCTGTCTAAAATATAATATTGATATTTTCTCTAATTGGCTCTTACATTAATATTTATATATTTCTCTAATTAGCTCTTACATTAATATTTATATTTTCTCTAATTGGCTCTTACAGTAAGATTTATATTTTCTCTAATTGGTTCTTAACTTATATTTATATTTTCTCTAATTGGCTCTTACATTAATATTTATATTTTCTCTAATTGGCTCTTACATTACTATTTACATGTTCTCTTAATTGGCTAATATTTTTCTTGCTTTTTCATTTTATGGGAAAAGGGAAAATCTTTTGCTTTTGGCTATAACTTAATACATTAGGACATCAGTCCCCTGTTTCAAATCAGATAATCTCGTGTTGCAATGCATTTTCTTTTTCTTATATTTAATTTCCGATGTGAATTATACATTGTATATAACTTCTTTCTTAATTCTTAATTTTCAAATAACAAAAACAGAAATTTTGAATATTGAAGATTTGAACAACAAGTTCTATTATTTTGGAACATTAACAATACACAGTACATAATTATACAGTGTAAGAAAATTATTTGTTTTATAATTGAAATGAACAGATTTTTTTTCCCTAACAAGCAGAACTGTTCATCTCTCCTTGATCAAACTTCTTTTAATGAAGTTTATATATAAAACAAAACAAAAAACACAGTCCATGAGTTAACTAATTTAATGAACTGCCAACCGGTTTCTTCTATCACCATCAGGCCAAAGGGTGTTTTTTTCTCAACCAAATTTCAGGATATATATTAATATACATGTAATTATAATGTAACAAACCTACTATTTTGGAATAAAACATAATTATATACTATGGATTATTCTTGGCATCAAATATTCTACAACTCCTTTTTGGACCAGATAGTATATTTTACAAGTTAAGTTTTTGTATGTTAATTTTCTATTGATTCAATTTTTTACTCCTAAAAACATAATATTCAACACTATATTTTTGCATTCAGTTCATATGTTCACTATGCACTATAATAGCTTGTTACTGTTTTGCCATTGAACACGTTTTAGAATTACAGTCTGTAGCTATAATAATAGCAATCAATTATCTTCTATATTACTACATTTTTAGCATTAAACATGTTCTATAAGTACAATTTTAGTTCCATATTCTATAACTACAATTTCAGCATTAATAGTATTTAGTAACTACAATTTTAGAATTAATAGTGCTCAATAACTACAATTTTAAAATTTATAATATTTTTTAGGTTTAATTTTAATAATTATGATATTTTACAATTTACAAAATTTAGCATCATATTGACATATACATGTATATCATAACTGTTCTATAACTACAAATTTTACCATTGAACCTTTTCTATATCTGCATATTGTTTGGGGGCAACTGGTTGCATGCTGTTTGATTAAGCTTGCTTGATTTTATTGCTAGGGTTTAGTCGGACCGGCTCGATGCAATCACGTGATCTACCTTACACCCAGCATGTCAAACCGGTTCAACCGGCAGTAAAGAAAACCGAGGATGTTGATATAGAGGAGGCGTTTACCAAATATGGTCAATCTGATGATCCCCCATCTTCCCCAGACAGTGAAGGAGGTAAAACAAAACAGGGCAAAATATAATGTATTTTTTATGTGATTGCACACTTAAAATTATAAAAATTCAATTTAATTTCATAAACACAAGAATTTCTTTCAGCAACAAACTGCTGCTCTCTTTTAAAAATTAATCATTTTTTATTGCATGTTTTCATTTCTGGTAATAACAAATTGGTGACAACAAATGCATGATTATTACATGTATAATTGTCTTATAAAAAGACGATTATATATCTTTATTAACAGCATGGTTAATATTTATACAAACATATGTGTCTTTTAGTATGATTATCAAATTTTCTGCCTAAGAGTTACTTCTATCTATGAGTCATATTAGCCATACTTCAATGTTTTTTAGTTTTAATGTGATTGTTTGAAATTTTGAAGTGTTTTTCCAACTCATGAGAGTTTATTATTTTTAATTTTGTTATTTATTACATGTTGCATAGCATTGAATCTTCCTCTGGAGTTAATTATGTTTATCAATATGAAATGTTTTACTAAACTTTGTTTTACTGTCATACCATTTAATTGTATAGAAGAGACTGTAATATATTCATACAATTATTATAAAGTGTATTATGAATTTGTGACCTCAATTGTTTGTAACTAGATATGTGGCTCCAAGTGAGGTTTTAGGTTGATATTCTAGAAGGCCTACTTGACCTCCATGTATAGGTAACAAATATTTTATATGCTTGCAGGTTGTCTGGGAGCCTTGGATTTTTCACTGTTATATGATCCAGAAAGCCAAGCCTTACAGTGTACTATAAGCAAAGCTAAGGTAACAAAATATATCTTGTATTTACCCCATCACGTAGCCATAATCAAGTTAATGTTACAGGTTTAATGCTGTTCATGAAGAAATATATATAAACGAGGGTGCATCAATCAATTCGTAAACTAATTCAATAGTTTCAAAACTACTGGTCGGTTTAAAATGAAACTTTAAATGCTGTGAAAACAGATTATTTCAAATTGAGTCGTACTATGTACACAACTTTGACGTCATCACTTATGAGGTCATAAACTGTAAATGACGTCACATTATGGGCGTTTGTTCGAAAATGGCATCACACAGCATCAACGAACAGCGCATCGTTATAAAGTTTACACAAAACTCAGAAAGTCTTTCCAATATTCGTAAAGAATTGCAAAAATTTCACGGAGAGGCTGCTCTGTCAAAAGGTGCCTTTTCAAAGTGGATAAAGTGGTTTAAAGACGGTAGAGAGGCAACTGAAGATGACAGTTGTGCAGATAGACCAGTGACTGTAACAGATGAAAAAACAGTGGCTGCCATTCAGGAGTACATACTCCGAGATAGACTTAGGTAAGTGAGGAGCACGTAGCAGATAATTTCGCTATTTCATATGGTACAGCTCAGGGCATTATGACTGATAAATTAGGAATGTGCCGCGTTTCAGCAAGTTGGGTGCCTGGTTTGTTGACATCAGAGCAGATGGGGATAAGGGTTAAAATGTGTCAGCAGTATGACAGGAGGTATCGTGAAGAAGGCGATTACTTTCTTAATTGAGTGATAACATGTGATGTAGCGTGGATTCACTTTTTTTGACCGGAAACCAAACGTCTGAGTTCTGTCTAGAAGCATCTTTCCTCGCCTTCCCCTACAAAAGCGATAATTTCCAAGTCAGCCGGGAAGGTTATGGCCATTATGTTCTGTGATACATACGTTGTAGTGCTAAACCACTTTGTTCCTCCGAAAACGACAGTCACTGGGAACTATTATGAAACATACTTAGAACGGAACTCATGGCGGCAATAAGACAAAGCGCCCACATCTACTTTGGTCTGGATTTATTTTACATCACATTAACGCGCCATTCAAGCCACTTGTCATGGATACACTAGGAAAACTCGACATTGAACTGTTAACGCACCCACCCTACAGCCCGGACCTAGCAATTTGTGACTTCTGGCTGTTTCCAACTTTAAAAAACATTCTTCATGGTACAAAATTTGAGTCAAGAGAGGAACTGAGGTGTGCTGTGGACAGACAGCTGCAGGAGATTCACGTGACGGGCTACAACATGTGTTCGAGTCATGGATCGGGAGATGGGACAAGTGCAAATCGTGCATAGGACTTAACTTTGAGAAGGAGTAATCAGTTTAGGTACTTGAATTAAATCATTTCCCCGCTATTGAATTAGTTTACGAAAATATTGATGCACCCTCTCATATATGTTTTTTTGACAATAATTGCCAGACACTGTGTGCAGCATTGAACAGATTCAAGATCAGCTGGAAAAATATTTTAAGTTTGGAGCGATCATATGTGTATTTTTCCTCTCATCTGGTCACTCCAAACTTAAAAAATATTTTTTCCTCCTGATCATGAAACTATTCACTGTTGCACACGGGTATGTGATATAAGTATGAGTCTTGAGTTGAACCTTCTTTTAGTTAAAATCTTCATGTCAGAGTGAGAGATAGAGAGTATCAAGAGCTCCTTGTAACACTACCTCATATCACATACCTGTGTTGCTTTTCCAGGGACTCCAAATTAAAAACTGTATTGCACGGCCTTGCATAATATATTTTGATGTGACATTATTTATGTTATACTAACATAGCATAAAGACATGAGAAATAATACCGTTACACTATAAGTGCATCAGTTAAGATAGTGTAAACAGTTATTATTTCAAATATCTAATAAATGTAAACTTATTTTGACTTTCACTTGTTCTGTGACAGTCACTATATATCCTTGGATTGGCATAATTTTACTTTCATACTGAAAATTTATTATCATCTTTCAGGGATTGAAAGCTATGGATTCCAATGGACTCTCAGATCCTTATGTAAAACTACATTTGTTGCCTGGAGCAACCAAGGTTAATTTTATTTATTCAATAAATTTAGGAAAGATTTTGAAATACTTTTTATTATTGATATCAATAATTTTCTGACAACTTGATTTATGTCCGTTTTCTTTCCTCAAATCTTACAATATTTGCATGGTTGAATGCACTTATGTTATTCGTTGCAAAACTACAAAAGATGGTATTCTTATATATGTTACTATATGATTCTTAATATATTTCTGTATGTCAGAATTATAAAACATTTCAATATTGAATTTTTTTGAGAAGAACAGCGACCTCGTGATTAACCCTTTCCCCCATGAGCATATTGTGAAAAATGGCCGTTTTCACTGAAAAGCCTCCTGTTACAAGTTCAAACTGCTATGAAACTATGAAAAATGCTTCAATACTAATCAAACTTGGCACAAATGTTGACTGGACCATTGCCTTTGTAACGACATGCTCAGTCTTAAATTTCCTGTTACCATGGCAACAAGGGGGCATCTCAAAATTGCCAAAAATCACTATTTTGCCTCGATTTTTTCCATCAAAATTTATTTCAAAGTGCTGCAACTTCTCAAGGGATTGAGATAAAGTCAAAGGCTTTTCAGCATTGGTTACACGTTACATTATGATCGACCTTGGGTCATTTTTAGCCTCTCACAAGTCCAAAATTTTCTTGGCGATAAGGGGGACTCCGCCCCCCTTCAAACCCCCCTAACAGAAGGGGGCATATTCCCCTTCTGGCAACCCCCTAATGTATCTTTTGGATGGGGGGCGGCGCTGAAAAAGTGCTCATTTTTTTTAGCAACATTTCTCAAACGAAAACATGTGTTTGGGGCCCAAATAGGACATTTTTTCACTATTTGAGGCCTCAAAAAGGGGGGGGGGTCGAAAGTGCGTTGTTTCGCGTATATATGAGGTAAAGGGTTAAGTTTTGTACCTATCTGTATAGGACACCAGAGTGGATGGAACTGCTGGATTTAAGCACTTCTGGGGTTGACTACCATGATTTCTTATTTAACAACATTACTGGTTAGGTCCAAGAAAGTGACACAAGAAAAATTCAAATAAAGCTAAACAATTACTTACAAATCTGGATTAGATAGATAAATGTTTTTACTTTTATATATAACAGTAGATTTATTACATATTGTTTCTGAATAAACACATATTGCAAGGAATGTAGAAGCTTGAAATCAAAGTCTTTATAAGCTATCAGAATTCTTTACACCATATTTCTTTTTCCAATTTTTGTAGTCAAACAAATTAAGGACCAAGACAATACATAAAACATTGAATCCACAGTGGAATGAAGTGCTCACATATCATGGTTTGTCCGAGGAAGATATGGCTAAGAAAACACTGAGGTAAGCACAAATTTAAAAACACAATCATATCTGTAATACCAATAAAATTTAAATCTGTAATACCAATAAAATTTAAATCTGTAACTCCTATAAATTTTAATTTCTGTAACACCTATACGTTTTAATGTCTAACACCTATAGTTTTTAACACTGTAACTCCTATAAATTTTAATATCTTTAACACCTATAAATTTTAATATCTGTAACACCTATACTTTTTAATGTCTGTAACACTTATAAATTTTAATATCTTTAACACCTATAAATTTTAATATCTGTAACACCTATACTTTTTAATGTCTGTAACTCCTATAAATTTTAATATCTGTAACTCCAGAAGATTAAATGCACATGTTTGTGTAAAAATTGGTATGAAATGAAAACAAAGGGATTTGAATGAGTTAGTGCCATAGATAAACAACAGCAGTTCTTTGCTGCTTATGAACATGGCATAATGCTTTCTGCTTATTCACAGAAATGACCATTTGAATTACTTATTAATGCTGATCAGAGTAATACCAGGCAAGTATGAATATCCATGTAACCTGACTATACTATTGGTTGCTTATTTTTTAACTTTTTGATATCAAAATCTCTTGCATTAAATGGAATGTTCTCAAATTAAAAACAAGACAATCCCATTGTAATAGATAATTGAGCATTGTTAAGGTTTACTATTGCCTTGATGTGGACCTTCCTGCTTTCAACATCAAGAACAAAATATCCAATATTAGCAATCAACAATAAACAGGATACTGTATATATGTGGCCATAAGTCCACCTCACCCATAAGTCGAGGGGTATATATTTATATATTATGACTATACCTGTAGTTTGTGTGTAGGTCATTCAACACAATGATGATGTAATACATTACAGATAACTTTGGTGTATTTAAGTTTAAATCATTGAACAATTTTGTTTTATGTAGAAGGTTTTAAATTAGATTATAATTTGTAAATGAATATTTTTGAGTTGTTTGTTTTTGATTCAGATTGTTTTAAATTTCAGATTGGCAGTTTTAGATGAAGATGCATTTGGGTATGATTTCATCGGAGAAACAAGGGTACCATTGTACAAGCTCAAAAACAATCAACTGAAAAATTTCAGTGTCTACCTAGAAAATCAAATACCAGTAAGTTACATGTACTTAAGTTGAGGAAATATTGAGCAATATACATTTAAAGTTTTGATAGAGGTTAGTTCATTATCAGAAAGGTTACATAACACCAACACAGTAAAGGTCATGTGGGGACTTTCCAGCTTTACTGGTGGAGGAAGAACTCAGGTGCCCTTTTGTGCATTATTTCAGTAGAGTAGAACAACAGATGTTCTGTAAGCTAGCTGTGTAGCTTGAAAGAATTGAAAATCCTTGTCCCGATTCAAACCCACAACCATCAGGGGCAAGTGGTTTGATGTCAACAACCTTGACAACGCCCTTCCATATGAACTTACAGTTTTTGATAATTCAATTGTATGATATAATAGTGTTTAACTTTTGAAGTAACATTATTTTATTGATTATAGTCGGAGAAAGATGATGATTTGATGAACAATGACAGAGGGAAGGTATTACTGTCACTACGATATTCAACATCTAAACAAGCTCTTATTGTTGGTATAATACGATGTTCGGGACTGGCTGCCATGGACTCAAATGGCTATTCTGATCCTTATGTTAAATTGTAAGTAATCTCTCGATGTGAAATAAAGAAATTAAGAAATTCAAGCAAAAGTCTGTGTATCACCTCTCATATATTCTAATGCAAAAAAGAAAAAAAATGGATCTGTTGGAAAATTTCAGATAAAATCTGAAAAAGGGGGAAATCTTTCTGAAGCAATGAAAAGTAATTGAAGTATTTAAATATTGCTTACTCGGTTTATTTAAGTCAGATCATAAAGAATAATTGAAAAATGCAACATTACTCATGCCCATCTAGCCCAGACATAAGCACAAGTATAACACTAAACATGCTGGGTATAAAGATCCTGAAGGACTGTAAAAATAATACAATACTGAAAACTAACATTTGTGGCAGACTGTAAATACAGACTGTTTTTTTTTAGATGTGTACACTACAATGTATATGTAAAACCATATTCTTAAATCTGAAGAAAATAAGACAAAATTTAAGGAAATATTTTATGTTACAAGCAAAATGATTTTCACTTATATTTTAAGATATTTGAAGCCTGACAGAGACAAGAAATCCAAGTTTAAAACTGCTGTAAAGAAGAAAACATTGAATCCAGAATTCCATGAGGTAATGTTGTAAACAATAAGTTTTTAAAAAATGAAAGATATTTATTTATTCACTTTATAAAACAAGTGAAAAAAGTGCTTGGGTACATTTAAAGCATACAATAAATAATGTTATTTATACTAGATGTGTCTTACAATTAACATTAATGTTAGCTATTAAAAGTGATTTTGGTATTAGAATTGTTTTATTAATAAAGGTACAGTTATGCAGAATTTCCCTGTCCTTGCAAACTTGTGAAATGTTGTTTGCTGGCTTTTAATCTGGACATCCAGAATCTTTAATCTGTTTTCTACAACTAGTAGATCATGATGTTTTAGCATTTATGTACTTAGATAAAGCAGGCAGCAAGTGTAGAGACATGTCCATGTAGCCTTGCCCACAGGGACCTGGGACTATCCAACCCAGAATATATTCCCCTTCCCCCAAAGTCCCAGTTACAACCCAAAACAAATATAATTTCCACAATTAGTATTCATAACAACAATAATATGACACTAATAGACAATTTTCAATATACATCTAGAATATTAGTTAATTATTTGTCCTGTACTGGTGTAATAGGTCAATCATTATTGCTTTTTAATGTTGAAAGATTATTTTATGTATGTAAAGGTCCATCTTGTTTTATATTTCAGGAATTCACTTACCAAATCAAACACAATGAATGTGCCAAGAAAACCTTAGAAATTACTGTCTGGGATAGAGACATTGGAAAAAATGACTTCATAGGTCAGTTTGAGTTACTTGTTCACATAGTAAATTTTACAACGTCTAATTTGCATGATTTTCATAGAAGTAGATAGTTTTAATTAAAGATACTGTATTGTTTGTTTGTTTGTTTCATTTTACGCCTTTGACCAACAGTATTTCAGTCATATAGGCGGGTAGTTTCCTAACCATCATTCCTGGAGAGTTGCACCAGTACTAGACTACCTTCCTCAAAGCATCTCCCGGGGATCGAACCCACACCAGAGAGGTAACTGGATTAGAAGTCATCAACTCTAACCCCTCGACCATGGAGGCGGTAAAGATACTGTATAAAAGAAATTCAAAAAGTTAATGAAGTGATTTACCATACAACAACAGCAAGATGGCATAAGTGTTATAGGTGTAATATGTGTTATTATTGCATATGTTACTATAATTAGTAATAAAAATGTGTTTCTTTTTTCTGAATATGACATGCGAAAATCCCGTATTTCAGCATATTAAGCCATATTGGCGCACTTGCCAAGTGTGCCAAAATCCCATCATTGCTAAAGCCCTTGGGCAAATAAGTCACCAAGTGTGCCAATATGGACTAAAGGCACACTTGCCCCATGTTATAATCTCTACTTCTTTCATTTCAGGGGGTGTACAGTTAGGTATAAACTCTAAAGGAGAGAGATTGAAACACTGGTTTGACACACTGAAGTTTCCAGATAAAAAATATGAACACTGGCATACATTGTCAGCAGAATTGGTGCCTGAGGTGCAATAGATATTGTGTTGCATGATTATTTTGTTTTATGTAAGTTTTGTGTTGCTGTAGAAGTTACTTCCCTTTGTTTTTACCCTTCCATATTCACCAACATTCATAAAAAATGATAAAATATTGTCTAACAGTATGTTTTATATGTTTATTAATAGAGAAGCTTTTTGTAGATATTTAAACATTTATAATTTCAAATTAATAATGGATAATAGAATTTTGAGGTAGCATTTCTTTATTTTATAGATTATTTTAGCTTGCCAAAGACCGGTACAGCCAAATGTGCATGCTAACATGAAGGTTTTATTTCAGCTTATCTGATGGGTAAAATGTTAGCAGAAATATTGATAGATTTTGATATACCCTTTTTGTAATAATTTCTAAAGAAACAGATAATTTTATTTTACAGCAATAGTGGACAATGAAATCGGCTTAGATTTACATTTAATTATTGTCATGTCTAGTTCAACATATAGAATATGATAAGTGACTTTTGTCAACCTATTTGCGTTGGTATTAACATCACCATAATTTCATATAACATTTCCATGGCCATTCATTCTGTGCCACTTCTTTCACTGATTTATCATATGAGCCGCGTCACCACAAAACAAACATTGTGCGTTTGTGACCAGCATAGATCCAGACCAGCCTGCGCATCCACGCAGTCCGATCAGGATCCATGCTGTTGGCTATCAGTTTCTCTACTTGTAAAAGGGTTGGTAATCAAACAGCATGGATCCTGATCAGACTGCGTGGATGTGCAGGCTGGTCTGGATCCATGCAGGTTGCAAACCCATTATGTTGGTTTTGTTGTGACGTGGCTCAATTATAGAGTAGGTTAGTGCTGTTACAGAAACCAGCAATAGGAATTTCATGAAGGATATTGTCAGTCATCTTTGTTTTATAGTACTGGTAATAACTAGCAGTCAATGCAAGAACGACCCACCTTGATAAGTTTGTGTGGGCAGAACATTTAGTTAGTAGAAGTTGACTACTAAGATTTAATTGTTTAACTTGAATTAAATGAACCTGATAGACTTTCCATAAGTTCATCTACAATTTGATTCCCCATAACATATATAGAAGTGTTAATATTAAATAATATATTGGTATCATATATGTGACAATGTGATCATATTTGAAGTTAATTATTGACAGAATATCAAGTTATTGTGGTTGAAGCTAACTCTAGACATGTACCCAAAGCATCACTTTATATTCTTGATGTGTTAGTTCACGTCACCTAATTGGCTAATGACCTTATTATGAATTTCTTTAAATTTAGAATTTTTCTTGTTATTTTTCAGCCGGATGATTAATCTAAAAATAGAGGTCATGTGATCTGGATGGTTCTCTGCTTCGCAATGGAAAAGTGCAGCATTATGTGTGCTCAGTTACAACTGACTGTTTTTTAGATAAGACAATCTATTAGAATCTCATGGTAGTTTTGGCAACTGTTCAAGTATAAATATGATAGATTGAAAATCTCAGCAAGATAAAAACTCTTCAAAGTATTACATGTAACTAGGAAATGGATATATAGAAAAATTGTATGATTTTCAAAAAATGTAACGGTTTATTTAGGAAAATGATGGTATATTTTTTGTAAGAATGTGTTATGTTGTGATTTGGGAAGTTATTAACATAAAAAATTAAGTGCGTTACTTAGACCATTACATGATTTATTAACAAAGTAATATGGTTACATGGGGAATGATTTTTATTCACTAAAAAAAAAATTAAATGATTCCCTTTCAAAATTGTGTGATTATGAAGATTACATATAACATAGACGGGTCACTCTTCAAATAAAAGATTGACTGATGACCCAGATTCCGAGGAAGACCAGATCATGATAATCAAATCGGCACTGAAATGAGTTATGTCCAGACAGTTAAAGATATTCTTAGGTTGATGATCCCTTTCTATTCAAAACAAAAAAAAATTTCATCTTGCACTGTTTTTTTTATTCTGCTGATATTTGTGAAAGTCATTTTATTGGTCTAGAATTATGAATAGTCAAGTTTGGAATGGTCATTTTTTTTGCAAAAATGCTCTAGTGTACTAAGCCTATAGTATGACCTTCAAATTGTTTTGAAAAAAAGTTTTGAGTGCAGTTAAAAATTTTCCATGACAAGATGAGTTCTAGTGTTGTACAAGTCATGCTATTAAGTTCAAAGCATATAATAATTATATAATAATTATGCTATTGACTTCTTCAATTAAATGATTTATATACATATTATCACCGACTGGCACAAAACAATAACACAAAGCTGTTGTAGCTATGCCCCTGCATTGTTGTTAGAAAAGTATGAAGTGAACTCAGATTTAATGAAGGTAAAACTTCCATTACAGTTTTACATGTCACAGATGTAATATAATGAATTGTTCATGAAGAAAAATCATGTACAAAGTATATAAATTCTTCCGATTCTGTAAATACATATATTATGTATATTTGGATGTATTTTTACAATCAAATTAATTATCTTAATGATGATGTTAATGTTAAGGAAATTGTAATATTTGCTTTTAGTGGATAGTAGCATAATTTATAGTTTGTCATTTTTTCGGTCTTTGATGAAACATTATATTATTTAACTGTAGAATTGATTATTGTGCCTTCAGTTGAAATAGGTTGTATATTTATACACATTCCATAATATTAAAGACCAACCAAGACATTCTTTTTTTTAATTGAAGTTTTCTGTTTGATACCTGTATGACAAATTTGATTAAATGATCCTTACTGGTCCAATGTGTCTGGAGTGAAGCCTTAACATCTGGCCATGCTACAACATTAAATAGTGGTTAACCACAACAACATGGGGTCATGACAGCTCTGTTGTCCAAACAATTTTCATGTTCCACTGATAAGTCTTGGTATGTCTTTAAGATATAACATTCATCGACTTATGTCCAGAATCATCATTCCAATTGTTTATGTACATTTCCAGCATATTTCTTTTTTCATGAACTATATATTTATTAACTGATATTTATTTTGTACAAATATAGAATTATTTAAATTATAGTGTATTATATGAAAGCAAATATGAATATTTTATTGTGTAGGATAGTATAAAATGATAAATGTTTAATATGTTGTTTGTTGTTTAAACATGTATACTACTTTAAGTATAATTAAACTGGTTACTAATGCAATAGATCTGAATTCTGAGCCCTAAAATTGAATCATGTGTTTAATTATATACGACAGTGGTTTCGAGAAATATTCACTTTAATCATGCAGAGAAGGTGATTATGTATTTTAATGAAATTGCATGATTTACTTAAATGAAATATAAAATTAAGACATGGTTTCCACAAATTTATCAAACAACCCTCGTAATTCCATATAAACCAGTTGATTGGTTGAAGAATTATATTATTCTTTAAGATTTAAAGATGCTACTGAAATCAAATAATCCATACTTATATATGTTATTTCTTTGTTTTTAGCTCACTTAAGCACAAAGTGCTCAAGAGATGAGCTTTCCTGATGGCAAATCATTCGTTGTCCATTGTTTGTAGCTATCCTTTATTTAAACAACGTCTCATCCTAATTCATAAGATTTATTTTTACCAAATTTTCCTGAAATAATCCTTAGGTGGTCATTTACATAAAATGGTTTCAGCTAAATGCATAAGTAGGTTGCAGGAGCTTAATTAAATTTTTAAAAATCTTATTTTTGAAACTACAATACACAGAGCTGAGATATTTGGTATGTAGCATCATCTTCTGGTTCATTACAAAGGTATATAAACCAAGCCTTAATGGTCAAAATTGGCTTGCCTTGCACGTCACTTAATTTATTTAGAGTTATATAGGATAATGCATTTAATTTAAATCTGCTTTGTGTAAACCTACACTGCCAAGAGCTTACAGTTTTAGCATGTTGCATTGCTTTGTGAACTTAAAACAAAGTAATATAATTCATGCCCCTAAGGAAAAGAATGGCCGCGGTCTGCTACCAAGGAAAACAACGTTCATGCCCTTTCACCTTATTCATATAGATTCATATAGTAAACGTGCATTTGATATTTATGTAACTGATCTTTCCAGTCTTCCATTGGCTTCTTACTTTTCACTAACTTCTTATTATTCAACTATATGTTTTATCTTTCCCCATCTCCTGTGTCTTCCATTGTCTTCTTAATTTTTTACAGCATCCCTTCATCTTCATCTTCGAATGTTTTCTTTATCTTTCAATGTTTTTTTTTCATCTTTCAATGTTTTCTTCATCTTCCAATGTTTTCTTTATCTTTCAACGCTTTCTTTAACTTTCGATGTTTTCATCATCTTCCAATGTTTTCTTCTTCTTCCAATGTTTTCTTTATCTTTCAATGTTTTTTTTTTCATCTTTCAATGTTTTCTTCATCTTCCAATGTTTTCTTTATCTTTCAACGCTTTCTTTAACTTTCAATGTTTTCTTTATCTTCAACTGTATCCTTCATCTTTCACCGTATTCTTCATCTTTCACTCTCTTCTTAATTATTTACTCTATCCTTCATCTTCAACTGTATCCTTCCTTTTCCACGGTCTTCTCAATTATGTAGTGTTCTTGATGTCTTTTAGTAATGTTCCATTGCGTTCTCTTTAGTATGATTTTCCAGTTTGTATTTCATGTCATTCTTCTACCTCAGTAGTTTCAATTTATGACATGAAATATGTCAACAGTGATGTAAATTTACGTCGTCGTCGTTTTATTTCTTTCTTTACTTTAGAATCTTAAGTACAGAAATTATTATTACAGTATCCTTCCAATTTTCTCACATGAAAATCTTCTATTTGGAATTTATAACTATATGCGGATTGCCCCCTATTTAACGATCTATTACCTCAAGTTGTATATCCTCCAACTTCAAAGTTAAGTAATCAAGATTTATTCATTCAGCTCCAATATTAATTATTTTGGACATTTTATATGATAACTATGTAATTATGTGTATTCTATTTAATAATTAATCCTCTTTTAGACTATGATATACATTACATGGTTGTGAATTTTCTGTGATTTTTGTTTCTCTCTAGTAAACCTTAATGTCTAATAAACTTGATTGTATAATATACAGTTCTGTACAAAGTGTAGTTAAGCCAGTGCTAGTGGACATAAGGGATGTTGAACTTATACAGCGTTTCTCATGAGCAGACTCAGTTAAATCGAGTCTGCAATTTCTATATTATGTTTTCAGTGCTTCAGACGGATCTCCCAGATTTTTGTAAAGAATTTTGATCCATAAATAGTTGCAATCTTATAAAGAGAACCAAATGTTTGTACGCCGTCATTTATCTTGTCAAACGTTTTTAGAACGAATTTATAATACTGCAATACTTTTTAATTGAAGAAAATTCAAATTAATACGTAAATTCAAAGCATCCTTGTAAACAAGCGCATATTATCAACATCTTGATTTACCCAATGTTGTCATTGTTGCCTTAAAAGACTTTGTTTATTCCTGTTATCAGAGGGAGAGCGTGTATAAAAACAACAGATGTCCTAGTGTCATAGGGTTAAACACTAGCAGTTTAACACCAGTTTTTTCTTTGTGCACAGTCAAGTGACAAAAAATCACAAGCCATGTAAATATTAGTATGTAATTCAATACATATAACGTCTTTTACTTTAATGGCAATATGTTACTTTGTAACGTATGATAATTTCTGTATATTTTTTATTACTGTATAAGTATGTTATGTTACTGCATGATTTCATGAACAATATAATAGATCTAATAGAAAATGAAACATAATGATGCCGTTTGTTGTTTAATCACCCATACATAAAAACCCAATCCTTTACTCCGTAAAAACGATACTGCACGGTACTGCACGGCCGTGCATATGGTCCTTTACCTGACATAATTATATTTCTTGTTGATACATAACATACTCTGTGCAAATAAATGGTAAAGTTGTTAAAGGTTTTCATAAATAATTCTCGCTAAACACCATACGGTATTTACAAACCGTTCAGACTTTTCCAGTTTTTATAAGTTGAACATTTTAAGAAATACTAGAAATTAATAGTGCTCTTTAAGAATCATGTAGATGACATTGCAACATAAAAGCGTTCTTCAGTTGTATTCAGAATGTTTTAAATCTAATTTCTGAACACTTGTGATAGACGATCTAACAATGGGATATGACTGTTTGAAATCCAAATCGTGCAATGTTTTAAGTTAACATTCCAAGTTAAAAAATAGTAAACGCCAATGATAAATGAATTTTGGATGAGAGTTATTTATCGTTCTCATACACCACTGACATAATCACTGCATCCAGGGGTCCCTGGTTCGAACCTCGGGTTCGGCAGGAGCGAAAATTCTTTGTGACAATTGATATCGGGCTTCGAGTCTAATGTCATAGTGGTCAGTCACATTCGGAGCAGTTAGTACTGTTTAGTAATCCGGGAAAGACGGTAAGGTGGTCCGACCATTGAGAGAAAACAAAATGCCCCGGAAATGTCTTTTTGCATTAATTTAACATACTCTAAACCATGATTTAAACGTTATAAAATTCATGATTGCCTTTTCTAATGAAGTAAAGATTTATTCGTTTCTGAGGCATAATGTGCCTCTAATCGGCGTAAAAACTAAACTTACGCACAAGAAAACGAAATGAAGAGGAAATATAACTTTGGACCCAATCAAACCTCCAATCAAGACGTTATTGGGCGTTTTCTAACCCTTAAATGAACAACCTAAATGTTATATTATTTTTGCATCCTAACCAGTTTTGTAATAATTTTATTTCAATTCCGGTTTTATTACAATTCAGGTTGTAACAAGCCATGCCTCCATTGATTTGGAAAAGGACACATATAATTATTATGATCTAGAGAAGTTGTACTCACTATACACATGTGCATTAAACGAACGTTGGGACACAATTCAGTCTAAAATAATCGCCCAGCACTTGATAACGATAATTCTGTTAAAATCGCTCGGAACCCTTTTTTGAAAGCCCGCTATAAATCAATTTTATAATCTAAAAATTAAATCATTTTCAGATTCAACTGTTAACGTATCCATGATACATACATGTATTTAACAAAAGAAAACAATTTGAAAAAAGAATGAAACAATTTTGTTATTCGCAGATTTTAGATGGTGGCGTGCGGGATAGACATGCACCCCTCCCCCGGGTTTTGACAAGTATTTAAACGCTGTGAGACTTTGGACATGGATTTTCTTCTCACTTCCCCTCGGAGCGTGCACGTCGTAGAGGAAGGCACAGGGCTTCAGCAGAAGATTTACAGCTTGTCTGGTGGCTAACTATAACTGAAGCCTCCGTGGGCGTTAAAGACGGAACCGCTACTTAGTTCAACAACTGCGGACCAGCTGCCGGTGTCCTGACTAATGCCGAGGGGAGTGGCCCTACAAAGTAGGCGCTTGGGTCGACGAGGACGGTGTGCTAGGGTGCGTGAGCCCCTAGCACGGTTAGACGGCTTGAAAGGCTGGCCTAATGCTGGCGCAAACAGCCCTTTTCAGGACTAACCTTTCCTATTGTCACAGGTTACTGTACATTTAGGTTCTCATTGACAGTGACCTACTTGTGGCTCAAAATTCATATCTTTGGCTAATACTCCGTGGAAATTGCATGGAGGTAAATTATCACCACTTTGTGCTTAAAAATAAACTCTTTAAGGACGTGACTGGTGACATGGAATTATGGAATTGTTTAAAAATAACGATTTACTATTTTTCACAGAAACATGGACGAACGAGTTAGTAAATATGGAAGTCGAGGGTTTTTATCTTTATGCACTCCACAGAACTGATAAACATTATAATGCGAAAAGGGACTCGGGTGGAATCTGTTGTTATATAAGAGATAATTTTAAAACAAACGTATGTCTTTATCACAGTGACAGCGATGATATTCTTTGGTTGAAATTATCTAACGTATTTTATGAGCGCCAGTGTGATTTATATATATGCTTATGTTATATCATTCCTCAAGGCAGTAGCCGCGAGCATTTAACTCAAATTCCGGTTTATGATAGAATTTTGGATGACATGGTTAAAATATCTGCAGAAACAAATGATAATTGTAGATATTTGGTGCTAGGAGACATGAATAGTAGGGTTGGCCGTTTAGATGATTTTATACAGTATGATGATTTAGATAAGCATGTTTATTTTTTGCCTGATGATTATGATAAAGATGTTACATTACCAAGATTAACTGAAGATAGTATTGTCAATAGAAATGGCCATGATCTGATTGATTTTTGTAAGCAAAGCGGATTAAGGATTATGAATGGTCGAGTATGTAATGACCCAGGTAATTATACATATATAAGTCATACGGGTAAAAGTCTAGTAGATTATGTGCTCGCTAGTCCTTCTATTTTAAATACCTTTTGTTATTTTAAGGTCGGAATGCCTAACATATTGTCTGATCATTGTACAGTTAGTTTTAGTTTAAAATGTAATGATGTTCAAAATGTACCGCAAACGGATGATAAATGTGATAGTAAAATACGTTTTACTTACAAATGGGACCCAAATAAAATTGATATGTATAAACAATCATTGACAGATGTATATTTTCAAAATTCTATTCAAACTCTTAAGGAGGATTTGGGTGTCGCCCCGAGTCCAACAGATATTGATTCAAATGTTGATAAATTTTCTGAAATTATGGGGAAAAACATTGGTACACCTTTGTTTTGGAAAGCGTATTTTTGATAATAGGGATACAAAACAAAACTCCGATAAACCATGGGTTTGATGGCGAATGTTCAAGAAAACGGAAGCAGTTTATAACAATGTTTAACATTTACAATAAAAAATAATACAGATGACAATCGTAACTTGATGGCTGATTCAAGAAAGGAATATAAAAACATGATTAGAAGCAAAAAAATACTTACATAGAAAAGAAAATACTGATAAGTTTATACAGTCAAGATATAAAAAATGCAAAACTTTATTGCGAAATTACTAAAGGAATCTGTATGTAATAACAGCTCTCCCAAAATAGGTGTAGATACATTTGCGAATTATTTTAGCGCAATTAATAACCCAGATAGCCATTTTTATCAAAGCTGATGATGATATTTTATATTTTAACGATATGATTCTCAATAACGAAATACAAATTATGTTTTGAAGAATTAGATGTAGAAATAACAATCTCAGAAATTATCAAAGCTATAAAGCAGTTAAAGTGTAACACGGCAAGCGGACCAGATATGTTTTTAAATGAATTTTTTATAAATGGTGCTGATCAATTAAAAAGTTACTTTCATGTGTTATTTAATAGTTGTTTAAGCATGGGTTATTTTCCTGAGCAATGAAGTCAGGGTTTTGTTGTTCCAATCCATAAGTCTGGTGATATAAATGAACCAGGAAATTACCGTGGAATCACATTACTGAGTACATTTGGCAAATTGTTTAGTCGAATTTTGAACAACAGACTCGATAGTTGGGCTGAAAACTATTCTATATATGTTGAAGCTCATGCAGGTTTTAGAAAAGGTATGGGTACAACTGATAATGTTTTTGTTCTTAATGGGTTAATTAACCATTGTTTAAATAATAAGGAATATTTGTACTGTGCATTTATAGATTTTCAAAAAGCTTTCGATTTTGTTGTTAGGGATATATTGTGGTACAAACTTTTGCAATGTGGTGTAAGTGGAAATATATTAAATGTTATAAAGTCAATGTATAGCAATGTTAAGTCACAAATGAAATGTAATAATGAGTTAAGTGATCCGTTTTACTGTAATTTAGGCGTTCGTCAAGGTGAAAGTCTCTCACCTTTTCTTTTTAGCATGTATTTAAATGATCTGGAGCAAACTTTAAATGATAGAGGTATAGAAGGTATTGATGTTGGAATGATAAAGATAGGTCTGTTGTTATACGCCGATGATATTATTCTTTTTGCGAAAAGTGCAGATGATTTGCAACATTCTCTAAATGTTTTATTAGAATATTGTAATAGATGGAAATTAACAGTAAATACGAGAAAAACTAAAGTCATTGTGTTCAGAAAAGCAGGTAGATTACCTCAGAATTTACGTTTCTTGTATAATGATCAGGAATTAGAAATTGTATCTCGTTTTAAATATTTAGGTGTTTTATTTACGTCAGGTGGTTCATATATTCAACATGATAAGTTGTTAGCTGGACAGGCTTTAAAAGCTATTTTCAAAATGAACAAATATTTATATAAATTTACAGATTTATTACCCAAACATACACTTGATTTATTTGATAAGTTAATTATGCCAATTTTAATGTATTCCTCAGAGGTATGGGGTTTTTATAAAGCCCCACATGTAGAAAGAACATATTTAAGTTTTTGTAAAAGACTGTTAAGTGTTAAAGCATCTACCCAAAATGATTTTATATATGGCGAGCTTGGTAGACAAAGTTTGATATCATATAGAATGTTTAGTGTTATAAAATATTGGTTAAAAGTATGTACATGTCCAGAATCAAAGTATATTAGAAATATTTATTTGATGTTAAAGAATGACGCAGGTAACGAACCAAATGTAACTAACTGGGTGACTAATGTTAAAAGCTTACTAATAAAACTAGGGTTTGAACATGTATGGTTAAACCAAGGTGTTGAAAATAAAGAACTATTTTTATTGATATTAAAACAAAGGATAAAAGATATATGGCTGATTGATTATAATAATAGATTAGAAGACTCGACAAGAGCACTGTTTTTTAGAACAATAGTTAGTTTTAATTTTAGTAAATATCTAGATGTTATAAATATCCGTAAGTACAGAATAGCTTTAGCACGTTTACGCATGTCATCTCATAGATTAGCTGTAGAATCTGGAAGATGGAGAAAACCAGAATGTGTTCCTTTTAATGAACGAATATGTCATATATGTAATACATTGGAAGATGAATACCATTTTGTACTTGTATGTTATATGTTTTAAAGAACTTCGTACAAAAATATATCAAGAGATACTATTGGAATCACCCTAGTAATTTTAAATTTATTTCTCTTATGAATACAGAAAATGTAACAGATATTCGTAATTTAAGTATTTACACGTATCATGCTTTTATTAAACGTCAGCAAACACATCGATTCACTGTAGATTTGCCAATTTTACATGTAGAATATATCAATAGCATAATTCTAGCGTTAATGCTTACTAAGACAAAATGTTTTGTAAAATAAATTGCTTTACATTATAAATAGTATAACCGTTTTTGATATTTACCCTTTCTGTCAATGGTAAACTCATCTAAAAATGAAAACAGAGGTTCGATAAAATATATATAGATATATCTCGACTACTTTTAATCTTTTTGGTCAAACAAAATGCTTTATGGTGTATGCATAATATTTAGTACTTTGATAATAACCTAGTCATAGATACCTTTAAAAAATGGTTCCGTTGATGGAGACTCCTAATCATTCTGTTTATAATGCCGTTGTTATGTACAGATCACCATTATGTGCTCTATATTTTCGTTTTTCGATGGGGCATTTATGTGTTGGTGAATGTATCATATTTAGCATTATGTGTCATTTGTGGATAGCGCCCCTTTCCAAGAAAGAGCAAAATCCTTAAATGATATCAACATATTATTTAGGAGCATCCAACCTCGTTAACCATATTATTATTATATAGAAATTAATATGTTTTGTCGTATTGTAATATTTACATTATTCTGCCTCTCCCAAGCGAGATGTCATGTGTAACCACTCTTCGTTTAATATTGTTCCCTGAAACTCTTTGGTTTGGTAATTTTATATGACACAGTGAATCAGCTTAAAGTGTATGAGCTACTTTCCCATTGACCAAAGAATTATTTCCCGTGAATACACATGCCATCTCGACTTCTTGTCACGTATTGCCATGTTTCTATTTTTTGTATGTATATATATTGATGCTTTGTCAATGGCTCTTTTTAGGGCTTTAGTGCAAATAAAAGTTCTTCTTCTTCATGTCCGGGGTCCGTACTCGACAGCGCAAGCTGCATTTTGTGCCGGAAAGGGCGGATGGACCCTCATTAAGCTTTAACTTCAATCAAATCAATTAGGACATGAATGTACGTGTTATAGAGTGAAAAGACTAATGATAAAAATCAAATGTCATGCCTTGTCCGAATTTTGCAACCCCTGTGGTAAGAATCCTGTATTCGCGCCTGTTTGTTGTTTATTTGATCAGACGTATTGTTAGTCTACTGTATCTTATAAATATCATTTAATGTTTAAGTTAAAACGAATTATTAAAAAGAAAGCATAGAAGTTTAGTTATATAATACATTCGCGAGACCTTTATGAAAATATTTATTGGATTATACACAGCTACACCAGTGTAAAATTTTCATTTATCGTAGTTTATTGATAGGAGAGAATTGTGGGACGTATAGTGGGCGTATAGTAAAGATAACACGTATTGAATTGTTAAGTTATTTCACAGGAACCTGAAATTATATCCAAAACAAAAAAATAACGTTTCAAAAAAAAATCCCATATATATACTATAAAAAAACACGTGTTTTTTTTATAGTATATATATGGGAATTTTTTTTTAAATCGATAGTTTTTTGTTTTGGATATAATTTCAGGTTCCTGTGGTTATTTAATACAACCAGAAAGCATGACAAATTGACTGGATTAAATACATGTAGATGAAGAATTACGGCGTATTTAGTGAAGATATTATAACAAAGTAAAGACATTGTAGGATAAGGTAAATTACATATCTATGTTTTATAACCCTTAACGGTAACCTTTTAAATTTCAGAAATTTACTTGACCCACTTTCTGTTTTGAAACTTGTGTAGAAAAGTCGTCATAAAGAGCCGGATGAGCAGACAAAAGCTAATTGTTCTATAACGCTGCAATAAACATACTTGCTTAGAATTTGTCATATGTGAACACACGTAGCCAGGTCTTTACCCACCAACAAACTCTCCCACCCCGACCCCGAACAATTTACAATCCAAATATATGTCATTTTAAACATAGAGGATAACTTGGCAATGTGAAATACTTTTTCGAGTATTGATACTATATTCAATATGACCGTCTTCTTTTTTATTTTCCATGTCTATTCTTCAATTCCTTTCTTACTAAGTATATTAAACATTACAAAAAATAGTTAAGAATGTCATTCAATTTATTTTATTGAATGTACACAATTCATAATGTACTATTGAGCATAAACATTCACACGAACAATAAGGAATTTTACGTTAATAGACATACACCTTTCCATAAATCGAGTTCTTATACTTTAATACACATTATTTAAATCATATGACACATATTCCAACTAAAAGTTAAACAATCATACACTCAAGAAGTCTTTTTTCTTTAAAAATATCATCTTAACTTTATGTCACAGAAAAGCCTCGTCAATCGTGTATATACTGTAAGATCAAAGAAAGAGGAGCGGTGGCCTAGTGGTTAAGGTGTCTGCCTCTCAACCCAGAGATCATGGGTTCGAACCCTCAAAATCAAAATAACTTACCATTTGCAAAAATATGTTCAAAACATCAACATAGCAAATTGTTATAATGTATTCCAGAATGTACCAGTTATGTTCTAAAGAGCATTATTTCATAGATTAGTATTTATATTGTATCATAAATACCTTTCCTTATCAATCGTTGTTCAATCACCAATTTTGAAAGATATGATTAAGTCAACTCAACTTGACAGCAAAAAGTGAACTTAATTCCATTTTATAACACATATTCAACACTGTTTTACAATATAGGTCTATATATACGTATATCGTTTTTTAAATATCTATATAATTTACCATTTCATGTGATAATTGCATATGGTAGATTAAATTGTTATTGAAACGTGAATGTTATTTTATTACAGACTGAGCTCGCAGATATAACATATGTTAAACAATGTTTTACAACATAAATCTATATAAACTTACACTGTTTATTTTATATACTAGTATATAATTAACTATGTTTTTTTCTTTGTCATTAAATGTGAAATATTCAATAATATACCAAGAACAAATTAACACCGTACTATTAATAATATGTTTCAATTTCAAGAATTCGTGTTTAAAATACACTTAATGAATGTAAAGTTAAATGCTTATTGAAACGTATATACATGTTATTTTATAACAGACTGAGCTGGTACGATGGCTGAAGTAGACGGTCGTTCAACTATAACTGACATTGACATTGTTTGTACCCCTTGTTTTGAGGGTGATATTAGAGAACAAGCTGTGAAATATTGTCCTGAATGTCAGGAGTTTTTATGTACAGGATGCACTCAACACCATGGAAGACAGAGGTTGAGCCGTTCCCATAAGCTTGTAGACAAGAACGAAGCAAAACAAGGGTCACATGTGACCGTGACAGCAAAATGTTTATATCACCCAGATCGTGACATAGAGATGTACTGTAAAGAGCATGACATGGTTTATTGTTTAAAGTGTATTGCTACAGACCATAGGTTTGTATTTATTCTATATTTATTTCTCAATGTTCAGTATCTTTACAATTACTACAACGATTTATAATTAGGATGAAAATAAATCTAACTTTTGTAATAATTGCAATGGTATATCTAAATCATGTGAGATCTAGACAAAAAAGGGTGACATCAAAACGATGGACATTGGAAATGTCGGGGGAATGCTATATGTGCTGTAAATCAGTACTTTTTATAATTGGCAACTTGAAAGCTAGTGCAACTTACTAGCAGATAAAACAAGTAAATAACAAATTCCTGAGGACAAAAAAACCCATATTAACAAACACGAATAACTTTTAGTCATGAATTTCAGTTAGGTATAGCAAATACCTATCTATATCCCAGTGATAAGACATTATGATTGTAAAACATTTCACGCGAAGACAGTTGCCAAATTAATTGTATACGATTTATAAGACTTTTCATACAGATGAAAACAACAAAATCATCTCTATAAATATATCTAGTTAATACGTAAAGTAAAATAATCCTAAAATAGTTAGAATACTGAAATGTAGATGATGAATGTTCTGAATTACTTTATCTGACTAGTTAAAATTTCTTGTTACCAGGTCCTGTAAGGGAGTGACAGGTTTAGACGACTTATCAGTTTCTACTGATCAGAAAAAAGAAACAGAACGTTTAAAGGCTGACATTGTGAACATCCAAGACCGTTTAGAAAATACTGATAAGAAAACGAAAACAAACATGAAATGCATAGAGGAACAAAGAAATGAAGTCATTTCGCAAATAGAGGGAATTGCGCGCGGTTTGGTAGAACATATCCAGAAGTTGGAGCGTGAAGCTTTAGAAGGTCTAGATGCGGAATATTCTTTGGTCAAAGGAGAACTGAAGACAAATATGTCTAAGTTAAGTAAAGCTAAAAAAGAAATTGAGCAAGTAGGAAGCAAGCTACAAGACTTGGACAGTCTGGATAAAATACAACAATTTGTTCAGACAAAACTGATACAACAAACTTTAAACGATGCAGTAAAAATGTTTGAACACAATGAAGTAAAAGGCAGTCAGTCATTGTATTTAAAGGATACAGACTTAAAGTCCTCTGTCAGTTCATCAACATTTCTAGGATATGTACTTAGGATAACAGAAAGCAAAGGTTTGCTGACATCAAGGACGTATAAAGTTAGTTCACAGAAGGAGGAAAATATCCGCATGAAAAACGACAAGAGCAATCCCTACATTTGTGATGTATGTCAGCTTGCAGACGGTACAATCATACTGGCTGATAACAGTAATATGAGGATAAAGAGGCTTGATGTGAATTATAACATTAAAGATTGTTTTGATCTAGGATCATATACTACAGGTATCTGTTGTACTGGTAATACTGAGGTCGCTGTGAAACTGCACAACAGCAAAGTTTGGTTTATATCGGTAGGGAGCTCATTATCTAAGGTGAGAGATATATCTGTTACAGGTGGATGTCACTGGGGAATGACATATTGTGCTGGAGAGTTGTGGGTATCTCCTGGGAACTGTGTAAATGTATACAGTATGTCTGGTACATTATTAAATTATTTCGGTAGTGAGGTCAATGGTCAACGCATATTTACATCTAAACAACAAATGACCGTCAGCGGAGAGAATGTTTTTGTAGCAGACTCACGTGATGGTGTTGTCTGTTTGACAAGAGATGGTACGGTGAAAAGAGAACTGAGAGATAAAAGGCTTGCTGACACACGTGGTGTATGTGTATCCAATGACGGGACTGTGTTTATTTCTGGGTATAGCTCTCATAACATCATGATGTTTGATAACGATGGAAAATGCCTCCGAGAATTAGTTTCTAAAGATTCCGGTCTAGTAAAACCACTATCATTATTGTTCGATGACAAGAGAAACTGTTTAGTTGTTGCATGCTATTCTGGCAAAATTATAGTTTATTTTATCTGACAATTTTAATATAGTGTGTTTTTTGTTGTTATATTGTACATAGATTTAAAATGCATTAGAACATGTGGAGAGAAAGAGTTACAGTTATATGATTAAACATATCATATTCAACGGTCAGCATCTACAAACATTTACATTCCATATTAATGTATGATGATAACACAATACTTAATGTGTTACTGATATTCAATCAATACCATATGTAGAGCTTTGCTATGCTATCCAGCTGTTGGTTTTGATGTCCAGTTTATGTTATTTATGTATAGATTACAAAAACATTGACAGCGTATTTTTGTACATACATATTGGCTATAAAAATCATGGTAGATTGACAGTGTTTCCACATGTGTTTGTTTAAAAAATCTATTTATCACTTTGTGTCAATATTTAGATTTATTTGCTTATTGAACAGTAGCTTGTTTATAAAGAAGTCATTTATAAAATGATGTTAGTGCTTTCCCCCTTTTTTATGAAAAGAAAATAATGCGAAATAAATCCATCCATCAATAAGACATCAATGTTGTTGTTTTTTATTGTATCGAAACAAATTTTATAAATAATGACCTTTAAACACGAGTGAAGCTAACAGATAAAATAATTGCTTTCATGCAATGTAATATACAATTGAAACAGCAACTTTTTGACTTCTTATTAAAGAATAAAGACAATAGATAACCTTACCTATTGTGATGCTTTAACTTTTGGGAAGGTTTCATCTGTTATATATTTTTATATGCCTGTAATATAATTTGCTGTTGTATGATATTCCGTAAACGTGTTTTATTTCCTTATGTCAAAATAACAATTCTCTATACTTTATGATATAAAATGTACAAATCGTAAAGTCCATTGTTTTGTGTAAATACTACATTTATTTCTTTCATCTATCGTTACAACACTTTTCACACTTACTATGCTTCTGAAACAGAACCGCATAAAACTGCGGAACCATTTCCTTATGTGTCACTGTAAAGCTCATATATTAAAATTTTAAATTAAAATGTTCTTATTCTTTAACACCTCTTTTTCGGTTTAACTGTGCATCCTTCTATAAGGTAATTATCGCAATAATGGCTTAAGCATTTTTTTAAGTATTATTCTCGTTGTTGCTTTGGATAAGTAATGTTCATGTATTATTTCTATCTTAACTAACATACATGTATATAATACTTAATGCATCTTTGTTGTTAACGGCAGCCCTCAGTAAAATTCATAAATCTGATGTACCATATTGTGTAAAAGAGCTTAACATCCACTCGGTCAAACGTCCAATTAGAACCTCGAAAACAATAGTAAGAATACGGTATTTCGGTAAGAAATTATACAAATAGCAGTTGTTGTCTATGTTTATTCCAATATATAGAGTAAAGGTCCATATAAATCAAGTAAATTTAGATATAAAAGTCAATAATACATTATAAATATACTTATCATTATTACATGTATTATAAAATTACAAAATGTTTACCGGTAACATTAATTCAGATTTGTATATAGTAGTGAATCAGTGGGCATTTGTGAATTGATTGCGATTATCTAACATATTTTCAGCGACACTTTGACCGAAATATACTTTGTTTTCCTTTGGATGTCAAAAATGCACTGGTTATGAAAGATAACCCTGTTTTAGTTTACATCTACGACCACGTGTTAGAAGTAGTTCCATTCTGTATTAAGTTCGTGGTTATCATGAATAAAAGCCGTGATGTTCCGATTGCTTAACATCCTACAATTGTAAATTCATGTTACGTTAGTGAGAATTGCTGTTCTATATATGGAAGTACCAAACGTTTTTTCTCTGCCGCTTCCAAACTTAGCTTTGCATTACGTAGGATGTGTAAACGGGAACCGATGCTACTGAGGACGTGGCTTCTTTTGCAAAAATGATGTATTCATCCTTTATTCTTGAATGTTATTTCTTGACAGGTATATTTTTGTTTGTGAAATAACCAAGAAGTTCAGTAAATTGAATCTCTTTTTTATTTAAAAAGATAGGTAAATAATAAAAGAAAAATGTTGTAGTAGTTTTCTGTGTGAGATATCAATTTTCAAACACTGCGAGTAGCAAAATACAAGCCTCAAAAACCTACCTAAATTCATTTCGACGAGTAAATTACAATAAACATGGCTTATTGATTATTTCGATATTTCTGCATTTTAGTAATTTAGCAAACTGTTCATTTCATATATAGTCCCAGAAATCCGTACATACAATAGTGCGAAGTGTGAATCACTTGTGAAAAGCATGAAACTTGGCTGATAAAATACTTTTAAATTATATGTTATATTATAAATTATATTACACATTTGTAATAATAGTCAAGAAATTTAATACTTCTATGAATAGTATTCAAAAGAAGCAATGAAAAAATGCAACAAAACAGAATCGTTATTAGTTTCATATCCGTTCATCTCTCATAGCATACTAAAACGTATTTGCCTAAGTGACACATTTCGGCTTCCGTATGTTCAATATTTATGTCCCAAATGAAGATGTGGCTGAATATTGATATCTATACTTGACAAATAAATTATAATATGAGTATACTGTATATAGTATGCAACGAGATCGATGTGAAGGACAATTTTTAGACAGAGCAATGCGATATGTTCGTTATGAGACGTGTACCCTTGCAGCAAAATTGAAATTTGAGTTCTACAGCGAACACATGTTTCTCAGGAGGTGCATGTCTGAGTAGTGTATTTTGTTTTCCAAAAAAGCTCCATTTTCAAGGTATGAAACTGAGAGGCGCCTATACAACTTAACTTAAATAGCTTCCTTTTTGCCTGGTCGAACTCACATTTCAATGACTTCCTGTGCGTGACGTTTCTTTATCATAGAACGTGCCGTAACGAACGCGTTAATGTCAAACATCACATTTATCACCCTGTTAAATACCAATTAGAATTTAGATGTGTAAGTAAAAATGCTTGCAAAAGTAGCAGTGGTTCTCAGGATATGAGAAATAAAATATACAAAGACTCGTTTTTATTGATATCTATTTTATTTCCATGTATCATATACATATTCAACAATTTTCCCAAGCTTTAATGCAGTCTTCCTCCTCGTTGTATAGGTTTGTTGCGTAAGCGGAGAAACAACCGTACATACGCCTACATTGTCCGCCATTGTACGAGTAGAATAAACCCTCTGTGCGTCCGCCCATACATTCTATTTGCTGCGGTGTCGTCACCTCACATTCTGTAAAAAAAATTTCAGTAAATACCTCAAGAAAATGCATCTCTTTCTTCAAAAATATCATAAGATAAACGTTCCAATTAGGCTTATTATTACTCATCAAGCTTCATAATTCGAGGGCTGAAAGCGAAACTAGTGTAAGTGCATTTTCGAACATTTTACAGGAGAAGGAAATAACTGTTTAAATTTATTATTACTGTATATTTTAACTAAATACTACAATTATATGTGCAAATCAACTTTTGTTCACAACTTCTTTGTTTTGATTTTCAGATTCAATCATCACAGAAAAAAATATTATAATAAACGTCACTTAGAGCAGTTTCACGCTAAAAAAAAATTTAAAATGTTTAAAAAATTAAATCTGTTGTTAAATTTTATTCAATGGGATTTATTAGTGAAATAAAATCTGTATCAGTCACAGTTTATCACTGACATAGGGGAATATTGGTTTAGAAAGCAATTCAAACCACAATTTGGTTCAACATGGTCATGTTACTTTGTTATAATAATCACTTAAGTTTGTCAAAGGTTAAAAAGGCCTTGTGTTAAGCCAATTCCAGGTCTTCGATCATAGATGTGAACTATAAATACTTAAAAACAAACTATCGCATTTTTTTGTAAGTCATATTCTTATGGGATGTTGCAAACATTGGAAAGAATGAAAAACAGTGTTATTTTAAATATTTTATTTCAATTAAACTTTAATTAGAATTCATAATTTTGGCAAATTTAGTATGCAATTTATCTTTAAGTAAATGATACAATCCTTTCATTCACTAATGTAAAAGGAAGTGGCTAGCCGTACGGGCTAGCCAAAATTTCTAGCTGTACGTGAGTCACGTGCGGCTAGCCCGGACTCACTGTATCGGCTAGTCGTACGGCACTTTTCAAAATTATATGGAAGTCGAAAATGCATATGTTATTTTATAAAATTAGGGCATGCTATTTTCTGTCGGGTTAATCCCTCGTTATTCCAAAATAAACACTTTACATTACTTTATATATTTGTGTCTCTTTAAACAAGGATTTTAATCAAGAAACAGCAGTTGTCTTTGTATGTTTACTTTTTATTTATCGCCATGGCTAAAGTTAAGAAAGTACGAATATCTATCTTTGTCATCTTTATTTACTTATTTATAATTTATATTTATATTCCGATCATGCTGTTATGAAAAAACTTCTTTTGCCGTTATGATTATTTGCTTAATTATAAAAACATGATTTAATAAGTCATCTTTCATACAAATAAAACAACAAATCATAAGCATAAAAAACAATGTTATAACTTCTGACATGCAACTTTGACACTTTTATTTATATGTACAATGTTTATGCATGTTGGTCAAAAGCTATACATAGCTTATTTTTTGTGAAATGATATACATATATACTGACAATAAATAAATTTTGATTTGATTTTGATTTTCACAAAATACAAAATGGAGCATCTTTATTAAAGTGAACAGCCGAGGACAAATAAGGGGACTTGGTTAGTCCTGGCTAGTCGTACGTGACTCACGTACGGCTAAAACTTTTGGCTAGCTGACGTGCCACTTTCAATGTACATGTAAAAACAGAATTAAATTAATGCATCTGGACATGATGACTAATGTCTTCACTACTTTTTTTCGAAGATTTACTGGTCACCTCACTCAGGTAATCTGAGAAATTCATCATTATAGATACATTTGTTTGCTCAATTAACTTATCATAAAAATTTCACACACAGGAGTCGATATGATGTTACTATTTACAATGTTAATTTACTGTAAAGTATTTAATTACAGGTGATAAGGCAAATTCATTTGTGCCCCAATTTTTTTAATGGCATTTTAAATGCACTGCTGTCACATACCATTGATCTGCACCAAAACAGTTAACTTTTGCACCACCATTTACATCATCATTTGTACCAATTGCAATTACAGTGGTGCAATTGAAATCACAATTATTGGTTTGACCTTTATGATTTGTGGCACAATTGATATGAAACTTTTTGTGCATATGATAAATTCTGATTTGCCCAATTGGCACATTTGCAATTGCCAAGGTGATACAAGTAATAGAAAGAGCATCGAAACATGAGGCTATCTGATTTGTACAAGGGGGCTAAGCCCCCGAGTATTAATCAGATTACTGAGTGTTTTGAATCATAGTCTTTCATAAAAACACGTTCCCTGTTGTCACAATATGAAACCCGGCAAAAAGGAACAAATGAACGAACATCTGAATATGATATTTCTAATGCTTTCCCTTTCTCTGCCGTCACAATATGTGACGCCAGCAAAAATGAGCCAATCAATGGGCATGCTCTGGAGTGCGGGTAACTAATACCTGCACTCCAATTAACGCACTGTGCATGTATATGTATATGATTTAACTCTGACATATTTTCAACAGAAAGGTCCCCAAACTATGATACAATTCTAATAAATTACAGTTAACCATTGTAGAAAATGTAATATACATGCATATGTATGCCTAATAACATGTAGGTAAATCATGTATACCTGTAACCACACAATTATAATGCAAAAATAGTATGTTACTGCTTGATTTATTCAACAGCTCGAAATGCCTCATGGACTTTGCTATGGTTCAAGCATTTTCATTACCATACAAAACTCAGGAATAAAGCTCAGGAAAAAGTAACATTAGAACAATAGTCATTATTATATTACAATTATTAGATGGAATAGAACTACTTTCGTATTATTTGCCACTTATAAAAATACCAGAAATTAACATTATACATTAAAATCCAATAATTTTGATTAAAAACAGTTCCAATAACTATCTATTATGTTATGCACAAGATGAGAAACTTATAAACATGCCATTTTTCAAGAATTACAATTGAAATGAAGAACAAATTAGTATTTTAAGTTTCAGTGTATTTTCATCAAGTTTTCTTTGTAATTACATCAAGGACAAGAACTGCCAGTATGATTGAAATGTTCCAAAGCTTAACTCCTAATTAAGAGGTTAATACAATATTCAGACAAATATTAAACAATATTCAGTATATATAATTAGATAAACAAAACTTAACTTCAAATTTACTTTGCACAAGTTGCATTTGCTTCTAATAAAAATCAAGATATAGCTGCTTTTAGCAGATGCAAAATATACGTTAAATATAAAACAGACTTACTTTAGAATGACCTATGCAATAATTAACAACATTTGTATAACGTATGGCATATACATGTAATGTAATGCTATAATAAGTAGCACAATTCAATATTAACTTATTAATAAACTGAACATTGACCCCTCATGAATTGGCCTAAAACGTGGTAACTACTCAAAATTTCTATGCTACAGTTATTTCCCTATCTGACATTGCCCTATTTTTGTCATAAACTTTACACTCTTGAGCACGCTTTATGTTTCTTATATGTGATCATTGTAATTGGCTTCCATCTGCAATTTAGTTTCTCCAATTGCATTTGAAAATGAATTGCAAAGATCACATTGATCATTTACAGGTTTATGAAAACTAATGTTGAACTTAGTACATATGTATTTAATATTTTAAGATAAATATGAACAGGGACAGTTTCAAAATTATGACTATGATAATAATCACTGAATGGATCATACATCTTTTTAAGACTTAAAGAAGAATCAATGTATTGGTGTTAACTATCTTTATCTTTATCCCCCTGTATCTGTATTTTGGAATGAGCAGTCATTACAATAGACTGGCCAATATCAAGTGTATTAAAAAAAATGTTTGCATACACAAACAGGGGAATTTGAATCTGTTTTTGGAAAGAAATATTTGTAGGTAAATTTCCTGTGTGAAGTAAGTTATTTCTTTCCCCTTCTTTTCTCACATTTATTAGTATAACTTATAATAAACTGTCTTTGTCTAGTAACACACCCCAACTGCCAGTAGGAGTGCAGCAAATTTTTTCTATCCTCTTCACTCAGTTGCTTTGAACATCTAAACCTACAACTTACACCACAATCTGGCTTTAACATTCTTTTTCTAAATAATTTACCATATCTATTTACATAGCTTAGCCCTTCATTACGTCTTTTTTTTTTTGTTTTGTTTACTTTCCAATTGGATTCATCCCTTAGACGCTTTCGTCCCCTTTCCTTTTGTTTGACATATTCACAACTACTTGCCTGACCTATGTTATTAGCACTTTCTATTCTGTGAACTATCCTAGGTGTAGATGTTGTGACAGAAACTCTTTTATGTTTACCACCCCTAAGACCCTACGATTTTTCTTTGAAACAAAGCTTAAAGGCATGCTTTCTTCTATATCACTAAAATTGGTCTGATCTATTTCATAATCTATAGTGTCACTACTACTTTGGTCATCAAAAGTATCGATATAAATAGATTGAAGAAATTCAGAAGAGTTATTAAGATTAACCAAAATTTCATCAATCACAGTATCTAACTCAACTCCATCAGCATCACTACCACTCTCACTAAGTAATTCTTCACCATCTGACGTACAGCTTTCTACTGTATCCTTACTAACTTAACTGTATCAGCATCATCACTACCATTTACATTCCCAATTACTAAATCACCATCTGATCTACAACTTTCTACCATATCCTCACCTAGCACTGTATCTAACTTAACTTACACCACTACCATTTACATTCTCAATAACTAATTCACCATCTGACCTACAACTTTCTACCGTATCCTCTCCCAGCACTGTATCTACCTCAACTCTATCAGCATCACCACTACCATTTACATTCTCAATTACTAATTCACCATCTGACCTACAACTTTTTACCGTATCCTCTCCTAGCACCGTATCTAACTTAATTCTATCAGCATCACCACTACCATTTACATTCTCAATTACTAATTCACCATCTGACCTACAACTTTCTACCATATCCTCTCCCAGCATTGTATCTAACTCAACTCTGTCAGGATCACTACCTGGCCCTTAACACTCTCACTAAGTAATTCACCATCTGACTCACATCTCTCAACCATATTTTCTCCTAGATCTGTGTCTACCTCAACTCTATCATCATCACCACCCTTTATATAATCACAGGCTTAGTCATCATATGATTTAGAACCTTCAACCGTATTATTAACTAGCTCAGTATTTAAATCATCTTTTTCAGTATCACTAATAATAGAAAATTCAGACTCAGATTTGTCTGTGTCATCTGAATCAGATAATTCTGATTCAGATAAAAGTTGATTTTTCATTTCTTCTATCAAATAAAGATTACAGGCATATTCACCTTCACTCATTTTAGTAAAACCTGAAAAATCACTAGAAGAATCTGAAAAGCAGTCAGAATCTTTACCTTTTAGTATTGTTACATGATTAATTTTAAAACATACTTCAGTGCATGAGAGAAGAACTGACGAGAGGTGTTGAATAAAAGATATTAAGTTTTCCAGACAGGAGTGTCCAGTTAAAACTGCCATCCCTTCAACACAAGACATCCCACATTCACATAAATACCAATCAAAATAAAAAATAAATAAATGTATTTTTTTATTTATTTTTTTACTCATCTTCATTCATTGTTATAGGAAAAGGACAAAGTTTTATAAATTGATGACATCACTCATGATGTAATCACATGTAAAGATTTAAGTGAGTACACTTACACTAAATTTATATTTAAACCTCTTTGAAAACTTGAATTGTAAATATGAAAACAGTGTATGTGACATTATGATTTATAACCTGCATAATTTTTCTCTAAAATATTGTCTATCTTGCTTACAATCACTAATATTGTGTCAAATACTTTTTAATATTAAATAATTCAAAACAATATTACATACTTTCATCACTTAAACATTTTGCTTATAAATGTATTGGAAAAAAATTGAATGTGAAACTGATGTAAATGCCTTTGTCACTTAGTCTAGTTTCACATTTAAAAACATGGGGCATTTTCACTTACATCATTTGTCATAATATGAGATAATCTTATTTAATGTTGGAAATCATAGAAAATACTTATACAGGGGACAGATATGTTATTTCTAGACATGATTATAGAAAAAAGTGATTTTTGCTAAAAATGTCACTTACACTAGTTTCGCGTTAAGCCCTCGCATTGTGATATTTTAAAACTCATGTTAAATGTCCAAAAGATGATCGGGTTTCAGGCGCAATAGAAAAGAAGAAGGAATGTAAAAATGGATAATTCGCGCCTGCCCTACTCCAATGCCTTTATAGCTTTATAAAAGCAACGTACAATTGACCAAGTTTAAACAAGTTCTACTTAAAAATCTGGAAATAATGATTTAGAACCTTCAACCGTATTATTAACTAGCTCAGTATTTAAATCATCTTTTTCAGTATCACTAATAATAGAAAATTCAGACTCAGATTTGTCTGTGTCATCTGAATAAGATAATTCTGATTCAGATAAAAGTTGATTTTTCATTTCTTCTATCAAATAAAGATTACAGGCATATTCACCTTCACTCATTTTAGTAAAACCTGAAAAATCACTAGAAGAATCTGAAAATCAGTCAGAATCTTTACCTTTTAGTATTGTTACATGATTAATTTTAAAACATACTTCAGTGCATGAGAGAAGAACTGACGAGAGGTGTTGAATAAAAGATATTAAGTTTTCCAGACAGGAGTGTCCAGTTAAAACTGCCATCCCTTCAACACAAGACATCCCACATTCACATAAATACCAATCAAAATAAAAAATAAATAAATGTATTTTTTTATTTATTTTTTTACTCATCTTCATTCATTGTTATAGGAAAAGGACAAAGTTTTATAAATTGATGACATCACTCATGATGTAATCACATGTAAAGATTTAAGTGAGTACACTTACACTAAATTTATATTTAAACCTCTTTGAAAACTTGAATTGTAAATATGAAAACAGTGTATGTGACATTATGATTTATAACCTGCATAATTTTTCTCTAAAATATTGTCTATCTTGCTTACAATCACTAATATTGTGTCAAATACTTTTTACTATTAAATAATTCAAAACAATATTACATACTTTCATCACTTAAACATTTTGCTTATAAATGTATTGGAAAAAAATTGAATGTGAAACTGATGTAAATGCCTTTGTCACTTAGTCTAGTTTCACATTTAAAAACATGGGGCATTTTCACTTACATCATTTGTCATAATATGAGATAATCTTATTTAATGTTGGAAATCATAGAAAATACTTATACAGGGGACAGATATGTTATTTCTAGACATGATTATAGAAAAAAGTGATTTTTGCTAAAAATGTCACTTACACTAGTTTCGCGTTAAGCCCTCGCATTGTGATATTTTAAAACTCATGTTAAATGTCCAAAAGATGATCGGGTTTCAGGCGCAATAGAAAAGAAGAAGGAATGTAAAAATGGATAATTCGCGCCTGCCCTACTCCAATGCCTTTATAGCTTTATAAAAGCAACGTACAATTGACCAAGTTTAAACAAGTTCTACTTAAAAATCTGGAAATAATGATTTAGAACCTTCAACCGTATTATTAACTAGCTCAGTATTTAAATCATCTTTTTCAGTATCACTAATAATAGAATATTCAGACTCAGATTTGTCTGTGTCATCTGAATCAGATAATTCTGATTCAGATAAAAGTTGATTTTTCATTTCTTCTATCAAATAAAGATTACAGGCATATTCACCTTCACTCATTGATGTAAAACCTGAAAAATCACTAGAAGAATCTGAAAAGCAGTCAGAATCTTTACCTTTAAGTATTGTAACATGATTAATTTCGAAACAAACTTCAGTGCATGAGAGAAGAACTGATGACAGGTGTCGAATAAAAGATATTTCCAGAGAGGAGTGTCCAGTCAAAACTGCCATCCCTTCAAGACAAGGCATCCCACGTTTACATAAATACCAATCAAAATAAGAAATAAATAAAATAATGTATTTATTCATTTATTTATTTATTTACTCATCTTCATTCATTGTTATAGGAAAAGGACAAAGTTTTATAAAATTGATGATATCACTCATGATGTAATCACATGTAAAGTTTTAAGTGAGTACACTTACACTAAATCTATATTTAAACCCCTTTGAAAACTTGAATTGTGAATATGAAAACAGTGTTTGTGACATATGCTTTATAACCTGCATACTTTTTCTCTAAAATGTTGTCTATCTTGCCAACAATCACTAATATTGTGTCAAATACTTTTAATATTAAATAATTCAAAACAATTTTACATACTTTCATCACTTAAACATTTTGCTTTAAAGTATTGGGAAAAAAATGAATGTGAAACTGATGTAAGTGCCTTTGTCACTTAGTCTAAGTTCACATTTAAAAAAAATGGGGCATTTTCACTTACACCATTTGTCATAATATGAAAGAATCTTATTTAATGTTGGAAATCATAGAAAATACTTATACATGGGACAGATATGTTATTTCTAGACATGATTATAGAAAAAAGTGATTTTTGCTAAAAATGTCACTTACACTAGTTTCACGTTAAGCCCTCGCATTGTGATATTTTAAAACTCATGTTAAATGTCCAAAAGATGATCGGGTTTCAGGCGCAATAGAAAAGAAGAAGGAATGTAAAAATGGATAATTCGCGCCTGCCCTACTCCAATGCCTTTATAGCTTTATAAAATCACGTACAATTGACCAAGTTTAAACAAGTTCTACTTAAAATCTGGAAACAAAGTGATCCCTCGGAATCATTGATCAACAAAATTACAAGAGAATTATAGACTCGGTTTGATTGAGTCTGTACATGAGGGATAATGAAAACTTGCAACATCCCTCACGTCATTTTAAAGTTATAGATACATATTTAATGTTGATCATTTCCAGCATGAAAAAAGTAATAAAAACTGAAATTAGTTTTCGAAACGCAGTTATTACTTCACAAAAATATATATAAAAATGAAATTGTTAGCGAAATACCATGTTTCAACACGATTTTAATTCGTTGACAAAAAAATTCCTATCCGAGATTTTTAAAACGTTGATCATGTTTTAAATATGTTTCTACAACACAAGCCTTTTTTATGGGTTATGATTATATGTATTTCATATGTGTTCCAATAAAAATTTCGACTTTAGTAAATTATTTGTTGTACAGTACGTCCATGCTTATATTTGCTTAATAAATGTTATTTTTATAGACCTTTTTCTAATACGTTAACCAACAAATGGAAACAAGAAAGATATTTGCATCACTGTCATACTTATTTTAGTATCTAAAAACATCTTTGCTGTGTCTTGAACACGACATAAAGTTTTCAAGAGTTTTAGAAGAAACAAAATGCATTGCCTTAACATGATCAATAGACTTAAAAAGATGTAAAAAAATATTTAAAAGTTGAAAATAAATAATATATCAATTACCATCAGCACAAACATAACACAGTAGAAGGGATACTATGAAGGTAGTGATGAAAATCTTGACCATTTTGTAACAAATCAATACCTGTGTAATATAAAAAAAAGTGCAAATTCAAATTCGAGTTAATTCCGTTTAAGTGGTGCAACATTCTAAATTGTTGAACAAAACGAATTTTTACTTACATACATTTCATTTTATTCTTTTTACAAATGTAAATATTAATATTATTCATTTAATGATTAAATGTTTAATAGCGCGTATATGTTGTTTTGCATAAGAGTACTGTTAAATATAATTCGGTAATTTTGCAACTAAGCATTCTGTAAGAATTCTAAAAAGGTCAATCTACATTTCGGAGGAGTTATCCTCTATCTTCAACTGATCTTTAATAATTATCATAAATCTGTTCAGACTGAAACAAAAACGCCATTGCAATTATCATAAATTTGAAAGAGTCAACTTACTTTGCAGCGCAGTCCTTTTAAATGAATTGTTCAGAATCAAAGCTGTCTATTTATTATCTGTAACAGCATCCCTTAATTAAATAATGATTAAACATTAATGAACATCTGGTAATAAAGTAATGGCATAATGAACTAATTTGATGATTTGTCTTTTTTCATGTTAACGTAGTATGATAATATTAATAACAGATTACAAAAAAAACAACATTAACACTTGCCTTAAAGCATATGTATAAATTCATTATGTATTTTCCAATGATAGGTGTAACACGTTTTGTTTTTCATTCTTCTAAATTTTTACCTCCTGAAAAATTTATCTGTTGACGTGATAATTGGCGATAACATATGTTTCATTGATTGATGTATAAGGCTTTTTATATGTTATTACTTTAAGTAGAATATGTCACTAGTAAAAAATAAACAAACTGTCTATAGCAAATTATAATTCATTATGATACATTGTTGATTCCAGATGTTTTATTAAAGTAAATATTGTTTTTCCAATATTAAATGTAATATCACACCGTTTGTTTCGGCTTTATTCATCTCGAGTGCCCATTACGAACTATATACATGTACTAGTTGAATAATTTCTGACGTCTCAATGACCATATGTCGTTGATCACTAATCATTTAAAATCATCTATAGAGAACTACTCTCTTTGATATGCAATAAAACAGAACTACTCACTAAATAATATTGTAATTGAAACATGTACTCCGAAAACCCTTTACCGGAAACTATTCACTTAAATATGATCTCATATAATAATTGATAACTCACCCTGCCATGTTAACTGAGCACTACTTACTCTTTCACCTGCAGTGACATCTGTTGGTGCCATTTGGAGCGTTTCGAAACGTTTCTTACCGGGTATAAACGACAAGGGGAAGGACTTTTTATAATTACTTATAGCTTTGAATTAATTTAATTATCATTTACGTTGCATCTAAGCTACGAGGTCCTCGCAATATGCAACTTATATTGTCCTGCTTATTCGCAACTGGGGTATTCTTTAACTAGAGGAAATTCTTTCTGTAGAACGAACCGAGACAAAGTGCCATATTATTGGGAAGTTTTCATAAACCATATCAGCTTCCTTAAGCATTAGCCACAAGGAGCAGCAGATAGGGGAGCTAACTATATTTTTAGAACCTGTTATGACATGTTTGTGTATTATTTTTTAAATAAACATTTGAGACCGGTATTAGGGTCGAAAGTTATTCAGTTTCCAAAAATAAGGCTTACATAGAGAGGCATACCGAATTAAATAGATTTTTGTTCATATATACATTGTATTTACATGTTGGAAAAGAAATATGAAGATTAAACTAGCTCAAACGGATGGCAAAATATATTGGGGGAAAATATATCCACTGTGAGCAAGTTACGAAACATAAAGATGGAAATTGCAGACTCAGTTTCAAAGAACAATATATTTCATTCCTTACACGTGTGTTTAATCCTCATTATTAAACTTATTCTGGTCAATGTTTACGAAATAGACAAATGAACAAAAAAATATACGCTTCGCAAAATGTTTAAAAGCGATCAATATGCAGTCGAACAATGAAAAGAAAGACAGAGGGCGGTAGAGAAAACATTTTAATGGAAAAAGAAAAGAATAAACGGTACCTATTATTATCTAAAGGTAAAATTTTATCAAATTCTAAACATTAAGGTATACACATGATCGTGAACGAATCCATATTTTGACTGCATTTGTTAACGAAGAGGTGCATCTACATGTATTTAAATGTTATGTCTCTTTTTTTATATTATAGCATAAATACTTGAAGTAAGAAAATATTTCAATTGTAGAGGTGTGAACTGCATGGAGGAGCATGAGTGCCAGGTGTATGTTTTTTATAAACCCGAAATTTCGAGTTACTAACTCGAAATTTCGACTTACTTATTTCGAAATTTCGAGTTACTAACTTACTAATATTGTGAACTCTGAAAAAGAAAGCAAGGCTATATGGGATGAGATATGCATATGATATTTTGGACTTTGAAAATGAAAACGACCTTATATGTGGTACGATATGTATTTGATTTGGATATTTAAGACATATGCTAAATTGATAACATTGGACCCAATTATGCCAAAAAGCTGTATTTATTCAATAGTTTAACAATACTTTACAGACCAATCCTTATTTATGTTCTGCTTTGAGTCGTTTAAGTATTTTTTAGATATAATGTCTAATATCTTTTATATTTCTATCAAAATAAGATTGAAAAATTAGTTATTTATCTATTTTCTTTGGTGCAAAATGTCATCAAATAACCTTTGTTGATCAAATATCGGAAAGAAGCGCTTAATTTAGAAATATTTATTTTTGAATTTCTTTTGAAAGATTTAAATAAGTATATCTTTATCTATGCATGTGTATACACTTTATATTTTATTGATAAAGTTGGAGTATACATTGTACTAATATGTTGTTTTGTTACACATATCTTGGACATAAATTTTCAAATATATTTTTAATTGAAAATTTCAAAACTTGATAACATTAGGCAAAATTTATGACATACTTCGTTTAAAACGTTATAAACTTCTCGTTCTTTCATATCCATTAGACAGATTAACATAAAATTGCAGATGAAATTGAGAGGAATTACATCACCACAATTTTTAGATATGCTCAAAATGGGCATGTCAACAAATGTGAAAGCCTTTTAAACAAGGTTTTCTTTTGAAAACCCAAACTTCAAAAGAACAGAAAACGGAAAACACACTTCATGCGGTAGCAAGATATTTGGAGGGCGAAATGATCGCTCGTATGATACTTTACCGCCAAGAAGTAGATGTAAATGCACCTGATTATTGGGGCCATGCACCATTGCATATTGCCACCCGTGAACGAAACATATCCTTAATAAAATGTCTATTAAGAACAAGAAAAATCGAATTCAACATCAAAGATGCAAATGGTTATAATCGTGCTATCAGAAGATGATGTAAATGAGAGCTTCTATGATACTGATGAAATCAGTGACATCTGGAAAGAAGGAATACAGCTTCTTGTTGACGCAAATACAGACATTAATGCGAGAACAAATAATGGGCAAAACATCCTACATCTTGCTGCATCTGAATTTGTGTAGAAAGATTTGTGTTGTACATTCTTCAACATACGAGGGGTGTCCCAGAATTACGTGGACTTTTGCTAAAACTTTTTTATTTTTTAATGCATTTTTTAGCAAATTTGTACACAACACCTTTAACATATTCTTAATGAATATGTCCATTATTTTTAAATTTCTAACATTGCTTCTCTATATTTTACGTCGCTATAGTTACGCAGTATGTGCAGGGCCGGGCAGTCCAATATTTTGTATTAATAAGTTGTCTTTACTTTCGTATATCTTGCATATTTATACGTAAAAATGGCGCGACGTCGTAAGCATATGCATTGACGTCATATGAATGTTCGTTTGAAATTTTGACGTCATAGCTGTTTCCGTTATTGTTTACCAGCGGATAACTGACAACCTTTGCTCTTGGATATTTAACAAAAAAATGACGTCCAAGGATTACGCGGAACATAGGACTATCATCAAGTTTTGTGTTAATCTTGAAAGACGCCAACACAGACGCAGGAAATGTTGGATACTGTAAAAGTGAGACCTCCTGTTTGTCGATCACTCGTTTTCAAGTGGCATAAGCGTTTTCGAGACGGCCGGGAGGACATTGAAGACGAAAAGGGTCGTGGGAGATAGTCAACGTTGACTGCGGCGTCAATTAAGGAAGTCAAGGACGTCATAGAGAGGGGACAGGCGTTACAATGCTGAGTACTATTCAAGGGTAAGCAATAATTTTGTGTTTAAAAAAAATGATTTTTAAAAAATTAAGCTAATCACAATTTATTATTTTAAACGCAATTTATCCGCTTCAGCTTTTAAGAAAGTGAACTCAAACTATGTTGAGAAAAACTGACATTCGACGCCACGCATTTATTAACAACTAGCGGACTGACGTCGTAACGTCGGAATGGACTGCCCCGCACCCGCTACCCCTTGTCTCATTACCCTGCCAACAGACACTGATCCAGTTGCCGGACAACTTTGAAATTTTTTGTGCTAATGCAATAAAGTTGCATTTTGTTCATGTTAATTTTGTTTGTTTTTATATTCAGTAGTTTTTGAGTTACAGTAAAAGTCCACGTAATTCTGGGACACCCCTCGTAATTCTGCGGTAGAATGGTCAGCGATGAACGCTTCAGGGGAGAATTTTCTACATGATCTGTTTGGTAACATAAGCGACGAGTATGAAGTATTGGAGAATATTTTACCAAAACTCAGCTCATAGGACATGAATTTTAAAAACATGTTCAACCAGAAAGACGCCGTTGAAGTACCACCGTGGTTTACTTTGATACATGCTCTAAAGTACTTTATTGAAAAAGATACTGATTGCCTGAAAACGATCAAACATAATCTTGACGTTAATGTAAGGAACGGTTTTGGCGAGGCAGCAATTTCTGAATTTCATATAGACGCAGTGTTTGAAATACTAAAACTGCAAAATTATGTCTTTAAAAATAGGAACATTAAACATACCTAATCAAATACATAAAGAGAGTCCTGAATGAGCGGAAATTGTGGGAAAAGGGAAATCTTTATTACCGGTATGAAGATAACCTACATGTTATTTCAGAAAAACCGGTGTTCAACGTTCAAATGTATTGGATTGGATCAAAGCACAAGCAATACCTCTCAGCATAGATCTTATTCCAGCTGTCTACAAGCGAGGACGGTGGCCGGAGAAAGCCCGTCCGAAGACTTTGAGACTTGGGCACACGCATTTCTTTACTTGGGGACGATCTGCGGATGTTTCAAAATTCTAAATATAAACAGTTCATGTTAAATGTTAAATTCTGTTTAAGCCGGTGCTAAGGGGTGTGGACGGTAGTTTGCACTTGACAGTACCGTCCATGAACAGGCTCAATCAAACCGAGCCTGCAACTTTTTCAATTTTTTTCCGCGTTGGGCTTTCTTTAGAGATTTTTATTTCACTCTATTTTATCGCAATATCAGCGTTGTTTGTGCCGTGTGGAGGCTGTAAAACATCGCCCCGTACATTTAATCATGGATGTTATATTTCCGATCCTTAAAGATATTTTCAGCATGACACTATTGTTGTGCTTGGACGGTAGATTGCACTTGACAGTACCGTCCATGAACAGGCTAAATCAAACCAAGCCTGCA